CGATCCTAGAGGAAAATCCTTCCTGAGTTCTTTTCTGTTTGCGTGATGCCTGTTATGGTTAATGTGTGTCTAGCTCTCTCTCTTGCTGTTATGAGACATCAACATATTCTAGCGTACTTGCTACATTTGCACAGAAGCAGTATTGTCTGATGGACTGAGCATGGTGGTGGAAGCCAGGAATGTAAGAATTCTAAACCCTGGTCTGCCAATGACTTGCTGTGTTGTATTGGAACATTCATGTAACATCTTTGTTTCATAATTGTGAAATGGGAATAATAATCTTTACTCACCTACTTCACAGGGAAGTTGGGAGAATACAGTAGTTCATGTTTGTTCAGCACTTTGGAATATAAAGCCCTGTCTGAATCTTAAGAATTACTACTACAAATTGTCGTTTTTATTCATTCTCATGTCATTCATCTTGTCTTCTATCCTTTTCTCCGTGAGGTTTTCTAGTTGTTATTTTGTTTATTTCACTGTGATTATTTTAATATTAGATTGGATTACAGAGCGGTTATATCAAATAATATGTCTGAATTATCAATTTAGATGTTGGGTGATAGCTTTCCCCCCAAATCTATCTGTATTTTACAAAGTTTGGAATAGATCTAGCTACCAGTGACATCAATAGAGCAGGAACAAGCCCTATTTCTTTTTTCTTTGAGTATTCTACTTCCCTTTATTCCATCCAAAAAATCTAACTACAGCAACGGTAAGCACCCATCACTGCAGTATCTGGGCACTTCAAAATATCTCTGTCTTTACTGAATGTTGAACATTACATAAGAAAATGAATATTTTTTTTCAGAAAGGAAGACAAACATGAATGATCATATATTGTTTACAATGCTGTTGTAGCCATGTTGGCTCCAGGACATTAAAGAGACAAGGTGGGTGAAGTAATATCTTTTACTGGACCAACTTCTGTTGGTGGAGGGAACAAGCTTTCCAGAGGCTCAAAAGCTTGTTCCAACCATGAACAGAAATTTGACAAGTAAAAGATATTACCTCACCCACCTTGTATCTCTCATGAATTATGAAGTGAATCCAGATTAAAATTAGAAAGAGACAAACTAAATTAGACAAAGTTAATTTGGAACTATGCACCTGACTGAACAATTTTCTTCATGATTTCTTTGCTGCTGTGGTGCTATAGTTATGGCACATACATCCCAAAAAAACCATTTTCAAGTCATTGAATAAGGACAAAATCATTGTTTGCCTTACGTGCCTGTTCAGGGGAGTGAGTGGAGAGAAAATGTCCCCCTTCTCTTTTGCATGGGCTAAATGCTTCAGAGTACAGTGCAGAAAACAGCCTCTGGAGGGCCAATATCCCTGGGGCAAAAGTGGGGACTGGGTGGAGCCGTGATGCCACGCACCCTCAATGTGCCTGCTGGTGCAGTTGCATTTACGCAGAAGAGGGGGTAGTAATCTGCTACTGATATAAACAAGTGGGGATCCAGGAAATGAATTGTGACTCTCAGTCACAATTTGTTCCAGGGTCTACTCCTGGGGCAGCACAGCTATATGCTGCCCTTTACTCAAGACAGATTGTAAGGTCACAGTCAAGCCTTATTCCTTATGAAAAAATATCACTTCTCTCATGCTTGGCTTAAGTGTGGAAGCAATAATTTGTGCATGAAAATGTGCCATTTCAATCCAACTATCTCAGATGTTTTGATTTCAATTCATTAGATAGCTGCAATATGTTATCACAATGATTGTAGAGGAGCAACTTCCTGTATCCCTTCTGTATTTGTTCATTCTTATCTAACCGCTGAAATGTCAGGGACCTGAAACTTTCAAAATTACAGCTGGGTTCATTTTACTGCCCTGAAAATACTGAAAATGAGTGCAGTTCAGTTCAAAAAACAACCATTGAAAAGCTGGTTGCTATGCAACCTACAGTATTGTCTGTATTACCCTCACCAACAGATGACATGCTGTATAAAATAAAATAATCCTCTTTAAAAAACAATACAGTGAAAGGCTGTTGGGGGTGGGCGGTACTTGCAATAACTCACAACTGTGTCAGAACCTCAAAGGAAAAACAGCGCATCACTCATCCATGCCCCATGTATTATGGGACCCTAATGTCATGATTATGATTATTTATCAGGCTGGTGATCTATATACCAAATTGCTCAGAATGAAGCAAACAAGCCTCAAGGTACCCACTGGAAGGTTTCTAAAGCAATACTTTACTCGAATAAGATTCTGTGGTGATATTTTCACACAGTGAAGCTAAACAGGCCATTTTACTCTTGGATTGTTTCAACTTGTACACATCCCTTTAGTTCTAAAACTGCTTCTGCCGGCACAAGATTAGAGGCCTCTTCCCCCCCCCCCCAGAACAGATAGAGAAGGCAGGGGCAATACAATGTCCTTTCCCTGACAACCCTACTCTGAAGAGAAATCTGGGCCTGGTTCCCATTTACACTAAGACTCCTTTATACCACTCTGGCTAGGTAAAGGGGCCTACAAGTAGGGGGTAGATTATAATTATATAAAATTACACTTATTTAAAGCCCCCTTTACATTTCCAGAATGGTGCAAAGAGGCTGGAGTGTAAATGAGAATCAGGCCCAAAACCTCTAGAAGGGAGAGGGGAGCTCAGTCTCAATGCTCATTCAGGATCAGATTCTGATACCCGAATGATACCTTACTCCACATATAATTCTGTTGAAGTCAGTGGGGCTACTCGCAGACTCAGATGCTACCCATTGGGTATCAGAATCCAGCTCCAGGTTACTCACTACTGCGCCTGCCAATAAAAGGATCGGTTGGTGCTAACTGCAATGGTCATTTTTGTAATGTGATCATATGCCCATTGCAAACTTGACTGGAATCACCTGCTCCTTTCACACAGGCCAAACAGTCATTACGGAGTGAATGTTTTCATCCTCTGCTAACCTAGTTGGAAAGCAAATTAGTAACAGAAGCACACTGCTTTCTATACAGGTCTGCAGTATTGGTGAGATGCAAATTATTAATGAACAATATTTTTTGTTTAGATTTTTTCCCTCTTTCCTTCTTGAAAAACAATCCACTCTCTCCTTGGAATGCAAACAAGAATCTGAAAGTGGAATTGGGATCTACTGTACTTACTGTATTTCAGCAGATAAACCAGCAGAAGTTATAAGATATCAGATTATTATAGATGTATAACTATACAGAGATAGACATAGCAATGCATACATTTAATAAATGGGCATTATAAAACAAGGCAACTGATTGATTGATAAAGGTTCCAGCTGCATGAGTATCTGCTACCACCCCAACTTGAGAATTATTAGCCTGTTTACACTCTCTCAATTATTATCCATATAGCAATTATTAAGTTATTTCCTCTATTTTAACCCAACTTTCTAAATATATACACTATGAATGCTGGGCCATAAAATGGCAGATACAAACACTTTCCCCACATTCTACTCCTTATCTTAGCATTTATATATCACTTTATATCTCCAAAGCACATCACCCTGTGAGGCGGGCAAGAAAGTATTACTATCTTCAATTTACAGATGAGGCAGCTCAGACAGAAAGGTCAATTGACTAACCCAAGGCCACGTGGTGAATCAGTGGTAGAGCCTGGATTAGAACTCAGGGCCTCCTGACTCTCAGCAAAGAACTGGTGTTGTGCCAAATCTTCAGTTACTGTAACTCAGCATAAGTCTGTTGACTTCACTGGAGCTACACCCATTTATACCAGCTGAACTGACTCTCTATTGTTTATGGATACCATTTAGGCCACTTGCATGTCTAAATACTTAGCTGTCTCTGCAAATCAGATACAGTTCATGAATGTCCAAATGACAGTAACTGTAGTCACAAAAAGGCAAGCTAGATCATAAAAATATTTTCACTTGAATAGTTGCAGGTGCTGCTGTACCTAAGAGGTATTGGTAGCGCTTGTCCTCATTCATTGAATGTTATAAACACGCTTATAACTCTCCTCCAGTTTCCAAAGAATTAGAAGTTGCTCAGGCAAAACTGGGGTAAAAGTACTAAAGGCTTTAAAGTAATCCCACTTTCAAAATCACTCATCATTTCAATGTTCTTTACAGGAGTGTTGTCTGTAAACTGACCCATTCCACAGAAACAGCAACAGAATAGTAAAAAATAAAAAAAACCTTGTAATACTTAATTTTGATTTGATTCTGCAAAGTGCAAGGCACTCTGGCCCCAATTCAGCAAAGCAAATGCTTAACTTTAAACATGTGTCGTCCAACTTGAGTTAAGCACAAGCTTAAGGGATTTGCTGGATCAGAGCCATTGTGCTCAGCAAAATGGAGCCCACAATATACTTATATATGGTAATATAACTGTACACACAGTTACATGTCACTGCTCATGCATGTATAAGGGTACGTCTACACTTACCTCCGGGTTCGACGGCAGGCAATCGGTGTTCTGGGATCGATCCCGGAAGTGCTCGCCGTCGACGCCGGTACTCCAGCTCAGCGAGAGGAGTACGCGGCATCGACGGGGGAGCCTGCCTGCCGCGTCTGGACCCGCGGTAAGTTCGGACTAAGGTACTTCGAATTCAGCTACGTTATTAACGTAGCTGAATTTGCGTACCTTAGTCCGAAGGTGGGGGGGGGGGGGTAGTGTGGACCAGGCCTTACATACACAGTATATATATATATCACACCCCCTCTAGTGGCCAAAAGGGTCATTACCCATAAAATTTGCCACAAGTTCTCTAAAACAAACTTGAAATAATACTGCCAAAGCAAAGCGGTAACTTAAAGTGACATAATAAGAGAAAACACAACAGGAAATTTTATGTTACAGTTATTTGTCAACATGCATTTCATATAATAAACAAACAAGTGTAGATGTAAATTACATATTATACATTAATGCTATATTAATAGACACATGGACAATGAACCAATTAAAATAGAGTAGTATATGTCACAAATGAATTACACAGTCCATTAAAAGAATCCTGGGAACATCTAGATCCATTATTAAAATTAGCCTTTACTTACTTTCCCATAGCTCAGCATGACTATCCTCACCAAGACAACATTAATGTGGGCACCTAGGGACTCGTCATGGTAGATTTCATTCACCTGCAAAAGAGTGTGGATATTTTTAATAATGATTCTGTCAATAAGTAATCACAGTAGCAATGATAAAACACAAGCTTTTTATATGTTGTGTCTTTAAGATACAGATCAACCACACTCATTTGTAAAAAAGGGGCATTTTCACTACCCGAAAGAGAACTTTTTCTCTCTGAACTACAGGGCTCTACCATAAAGGCTCCATATAGGCATCAAATCAGGAACCATCTTTGTTCAGGAACCAATTAAAGTCAATGAAACTTAAGCAGGTGCATAAAGTGCTTCCCTAAATCATGGACTAAATAACTAAAATACTCTCAAGGGTGATATCCTTATAAAACAGACAATCAAATGGGTTGTTTTTATTGTGTCAACATTGATTAATTCCAAACTATACAAGCATAACAAAATCTGTAAAATACTAACATAGAAAACAGGGGGGTTTGTATTATACATACATAATCACACATGCACACAGGCAAACTATTCTAAGAACACTGAAGACAACGCTATGAATATTATAATGGAGAATGAAATACAGAAGTCCAAGGAATACAGAAAAAATAATACTATAAGCAAGTTGGGCAAAATATTAGCTATTAAAAGAGCCGATTGGGGTCATCTATGATGAGAGGAGTGAAAGAAGGCCAACTTAGGGTCTTATAAATATGTTTGGTTTTTTGCTTTACAAATTAGAATAAGTAGATAAATAAATATCTGCAAGGCAAATATATTCCCTGCTCCCTTCCCTTCAGATCATTAGCACCCCTAGTAAATCATGGGCCAAAAGTGGACTATTTTATGTGTGGGACATAAAGAATCGCTTATATTTCATGGTTTGTTTCTGACATAAGAAACATATTCACTGGGATAAGTTATTAAGCTTCTGGAGAGTTGTTTATTAAAAACAATATCAATACACTCCTATTTTTTCCAATATACCTTTGTCCCAAAGGGACCATATAAAATATAACTCACTTCTGATCTCGCTGTAAAAATCATGTACTGTCTACTTTACGAACATTTCTTTGACTGTTATTTGAATGTATTTTAATACATTTGGTATAGATTTTCAAAAATATGAGCCTAAATTTGCTTCTAAATTCACATTTGGGCATCTAAAAAGAGGCCTGATTTTCAAAAGTAGTGAGCACCTCCAGTTCCCAATGAAGGTAGTGACAGCTACTTAGTCCTTGGTGCTTTTGAAAATTAGGTCAATTATTTAGGTGCCTAAATGTGAATTTAGAACCCTAACTTTAGGCTCCTCTATTTGAAATATCTTTATCTTTCCTCTCAGGGACTTTTGAAAAGGCAGATTAACATACTGAAGGATTTACATATACACTTTTGTTTAAAATAAATTATGTGTTTAAAGGAAAGTTTTATGCCGACAAGGACATTTCATTGTGTTCTTTACTAGATGCCCCACACACTCAAGGGAATTATCATCTTGATGCAGGGATGCTAATTTGCCTGATTCTATGTGCATTGGGATAAGAATATATGCTCATTGATAACAAGCTGAAATTTGCAGTAACTTAAATATACATAAAATAAACACTGAATAAAATCTTCTGTGTATAGGAAATAATAAGTGTGACGTGTAACTAAGTGTTTTATTAGTTCATGAGGCATAACCCCAATTCTTACACGCTCCTTTCCCATTAGCCGTCAGAACTTAACCTCAGCCTTTTTTAACAATAGTGAAGCAATACATCAACTGTATCATTACTACATGCCAAATTAAAACTTGGCAGGGAAATGTTAACAGAATGGCATTGAAACATTGTTACACAGTTCACGCAACTGACATCTAACAAACACATTTTGTGAATGAATAGAAAAGCATAAACATTGTAAAGGTTCCTTAGCATCTGTGTAGTAGGTTTTCTCTCAGACATAGGGCCAAATCAAAGCCCTGGATCCTACCGTCACATCTAGGGATTGATTCAGCTCCAATGCAATACTCCTTCTGTGGCAGCTGGACCCGCTGTCTCTTTCACTAGGTGAAACTGTGGCTGTATAAAGTAGCACTTTGTTATGGTGCTCTATGAGCACCCTAGGAAACAGATTGAGAGTCAGATTTTGATTCTTTTAATGTTATATTTTATCATCATTTTAAATGGAATATAAAATAAATTTCAAAACAATAAGTTACTTCCAAAAATATATTAAAATGCTCCATTCCGATAAGGTTTAAACTTTTTTTTGAAACAAAATTTCATCAAAATCTACACGGAAAGTTTTGATTTTGACAAAATGGCATTTTCCAATGGAAAAATATTCTGACAGAAATTTCCTGACTAGCTCTACTATTAATCATTTCTTTGCATTGCATTTCCTTGGTTATTTAAAATGGGGGGAAAGCATATGACAACACACTGAAATAGATTCACACTTATTTCAACGTGTGATGTGAATGGCATCTGTTTGTTTCAACGTGCTATTAAAGAAAGGAGATCCAAGTGACTGAGCTCTGAAATGGATGTGTTCAAATGTACATGAGAATTACACTTTGAAACAGAAAATTACCAGTAGCTGGAATTTTAAAGCTCCAGATCTGTGGTGTCTTTCCTCAAACATATAACTTCTGCCTTACAAGCAGATCTATTTACTTCAATGTACAGATAGCCCGATACCCAAAAAATGCATGCGTCTAGAGTAAGGGATGTAGAGCTGATTCTGATTTCATCCTAATTATTCAGCAGTGTAACTCCAGTTACTTCAGTGGTGATGCCCTGGTTTATACCACTCTAAGAGATATCAGAATGGAGCTTCCTGTTTGTCCTTAATCCGTGAGGGTCAGATTCTAATGTTATGCTGGTACACAGGAAAGCAGAGCACACAAAAAGGCTCTCAGAACTGCAGCTCCTGCACTCTGGGAAGGGCAGATTTTGCATCAAGTCTCATGAGATGTCACATGGTGATTCAGCATTTACAGAAGGTGAGTAGTAGGGCTGGGGGAATCTAAAAGAGTTAAAGGTTTGGAAAAGTATTTTGGGGGGTTGGCAAAACTATTGTAGATCATAGACCATTTTTTCCTGTAATTTAATTCCATGGTTTATTTTCTTGGTGTTTTAATTAAAAACGATGCTGTTCTATCTAAATGCAAGCCTTGTGCTCTGTACTGGGGATAAAGACTGTTCCCCTTGAAAGTTAGGCTGACACAAGTTGGTGCACTACATGAGATATACTGACTGTGTTTATTTTTGCATCAGAATTTCCCCACCTCCTTTTTCAGTTTCTCTTAAGCAAACTTGAACCCGACACTGTAACCAAGTACAATGCAAACAAGCCATGCAGTTGTGAGTAGGGTTAACATCTTTCCAAAAGAGGACACTGATGGAGGGGGGTACAGTTGGAGGGTGCTGGAGGGGTATCTGGAGTGTTCTGGAGGGGTGTGTGTGGACTGGGAGGGAGTATTTTGGAGGTGGAGGGGGTATTTGGGAGGTGCTGAGGGGTGTATGTGTACTGGGAGGGGTACCTGGAGGGTGCCAGAGGGCCTCACTCTTGAGGTGGGGGGCAGTGTCGCTCCCTGTCACAGTGGCAGGGCAGCTGGTGCAGGCCCAGGACACAGTGCCAGCCATCAATCAGCGCCTCCCTGCCTCTCCCCATCCCAGTCTTGGGAGCCAGGGCTTGGGTGGGCAGGATCCGGCAGCTGCGGGTGCAGGGAGGGACCCATTGGGATGCAGAACCAGCTCTTTCTGAGCAGCTACGTCTGCTTCAGAAAAATCCTGGACATTTCCTCTAATTAGAAAAATCCGCCTGGACAGAGGATCAGAGGAAATGTCTTGGAAAACCTGGACATATGGTAACCCTAGTTGTGAGGGATGCATTATGCTTTGTGTATATTAAGTTTGAGAAACATTAATGTGTTTTTAAAGTGCCTGCCACAATGGGGCCCCGATCATGGCTGGGGCTTTTGGGCATTAATACAATACAAATAATAATAATAATAGCCCTGTACTTTTGCAGGTGTTATCAGAGGTAAGTTACCTGCAGATAAATTTGACAGGATCTGCAAAAAACGGTGAGTGGTTTTCTGTATTAGGCCACTCTTAATAAAAGCAACCACAGTGAGGAAAAAGTCACAGGCAGACTCATTTATGCAGTTGTATGAAGTTTCCTGGTGTAGGATCTTTATTAATGCTTGTTATGCAATGGGGAGCCTGCTTTATTAAAAGTCACTGCTTCTGATTTCAGAGAAATCTCAAGGAACCCATTGGTAGCAACGGTCATGTAATGATCCAAATTTAAAACATTCCACAGCACAGATGTGTTGGCTTGGCAAGAAACTAGTTAGCTTAGTATTATAGATCCCTATCTCATCTTTGACAGTAACTTTGGCTTTAGGGAGGTGATAGACTTTTTGCTGGCTGCTAGACCAATTGCTTTGTTCCTTCCTTAGACTTTTTTGAACTCCAGCTTTTGCCTACAAACTACACCACTGAGATGTTTCTCCAAACAATATAAACTAAGTTTTCACGGAAGGAGTCTAGTTTGCATTATGATCTCAAGCTATCTATCACAAAGTCTTATTGCAAAGTCTATTCACAGTATAACACAGTAAAGTAACCCACTTAATTATTTTTCATAGAGAAGGTGACGGTGCCATGTTAATGCACTAGAGAAAGAGGACTAGGTGAACCTCAGAGGTTTGGTTAAGGAAAGCCTTCTAAAGTTTGGATGCCTATCAGAATCTGAACCTAATTACCCATGTTTTCAGTTCTACATCATGCAAACTATGTTATCACCACCCCTCAACAGTTCTTACACAATGAGCTGTTGAGACCAGGTCTATGGGTAGAAAGCCCTGTAGCCTGCTACCCACTCCACTGCCAGGGTCTCTCTTTTGGGCACAGCCATACGCCACTCTTCCAGAAAGCTAATGAGGAGTGGCCGAGAAACCCACAGTTCCTGCAAGGGTAAACATATGTGGGAAGTCAGTGTGCCTCACTCTCATCCCCTGTTCTTGAGCAAGAGGATCTGAAAACACCCTGTCAGTG